CGTTGACCTCTCCTGGGGCAAATGGCAATGCAGTCTCGACCTGAAGACCGAAGAGGGAAAAGAGAAGCTCCGAAATCTAATAAAAGAAGCAGATGTCGTAGTTCAAGGCTATCGGCCGGGTGTGCTCGATAAGTATGGCTTCGGCCAACAGGGGATCATCGACTTGGTCAAAGATCGGGAACGTGGCATCATCTCGGTTCGGGAGAACTGTTACGGCTGGAACGGTCCTTGGTCATACCGCTCGGGATGGCAGCAGATCAGTGATGCATGCGTGGGGATTTCTGCCGGCTTTGGCAAAGCTATGGGTTTGAAGAACAACGAGGCGGTTACTCCTGTCTTCCCCAATAGTGACTATATGACAGGCATTGCCGGAGTGACGGGGATCTTGAGCGCTTTGATGAGACGTGCAGAGGAAGGTGGTAGTTTCAAGGTGGATGTCGCACTGAACTATTACAACCAATGGCTTGCAGATTCCGTGGGAGAGTACCCCGAGCCCGTCTGGCATGACGTCTGGAAGAGGAACGGAAACCAAGTCTTCCGGTGAGTTTTCTTGACACGATCTCTTGCCCTCCCGACAGTGAATTGGCACTAAACTTACTGGGTCATCAGGTGTTACCACAACATGAACTACCTCATCCCTCGGTATATGGGAATGCTCATGAAGAACAGCCAAATCCTCCATCCGTCTTTTTTTGAAGATAGGCCGAGCAAAGCCATCGATGCCGTCGTGCGTACAATCAAACCAATCATCAAATTTACCGACGACCAGGTCCGGCTAGGTTATAATGTAGGCACCAGAGGCAACGGTAAAGACGCCCCACGGTGGCCGGAGGATCTGATGACGGAGGTTGTGCAGTAAGAAGACGGCTGTACGAATCCGTATGAGTTATGTTCAGGACTCGCGAGCGAGAAGGACTTTGGGCGATTTGTTGAAGGCGCCGTGCATGGCTGTAAGGAGCGTCTGGGTGCAGTCTAGCCTCACAAGAGCCACGAAATAGGTAGAAGCCGCGTCAAAACGAAGCCAACAGGGGCATAGACCGTTGGCAAAACCTTCCTAGGGCATCATAAAGCCATGTTTATGCAAGATAGGACCACGTTCATTTTCAAAACCTTGTTAAGGCCGTACCGAGTGACGAGCAGGAGATGTCGTCGTAATCGCGCATTGGGGCGCACATTGATCTAGTCAGGGGTCGGAGAATTAGGCTGGTGGCGCTGCCACTGCGAAGGTATAAGTTCTTGCGTTAGCACTCTGTGAGATTTCCAGACTCATCTCATCTTGCTCAACGACATGTCTCCAAGTAACGAGGGATATTCCTCAATATCCACGCTCCTTTGCTAGATTGTGCAGCATGAATATCTGCCACTTACCATGACCTGCTTCCTTTGAAGCAACACGACTTTAGCATGGAGTGACGAGTGAAGCTTACCACATGCGAGCAGGATGTGTGTTTTGAAATGAGGTGATGTTGTTCAGTTTCCCTTTTGGTGGTTGTGCAGAATGTCATGAGATGCCGAGTTGCCCCTGTCATTCTGTCATTTGAAGCTGCTGACATAATTAGTGTCTCGGCGAACCTTCCACTAGATGTAGGTACAAGTACTCGGTATCGAGCATCATCCCTTCCGTCCTCTTTGCTTCTCACTGCCTTTCATGTTAGTTCTCATCGTCTTCTGTGTTATTCGGATTTGCTGGTCCGCCTGACGATCCATCTTTTCATTTGGCTCTACGTTTTGACCACTATTGCGCACCAGCAGTCTCATGATTGGTGAGGTACGGAATGAAATTCCCTCTTTTGCGCGATTTCGGGCATAGCCGCCGAGGGCTCGGCGTATCCGTGGTGTGATGTCGCTGCAATGCCCGGTAACGTGATGCGTTTTTTCAATGCCGGTACTTGGAGCTGTACGTGATGTAGATCATGGTTTCATTTAGCCGAACCCGTCATTGTTCAGACCGCGTGATATACCCAATCCTACGGCGTGTTATTGCTTCTTTACATTGATAGAGTTTTCCATATAAAAGGACTTGGCTCTCACCATTTTTCAAGCCTCGTTATCGTTCGCTATCTATCAAGCACAGAACCAAAACACATCTACTACTGCAATCGAATTGATAACCGCCAAAGCAACTATTGGCAACCAGAAACCCCACGACACAATGACTAAAATGACCTGGAATCCACTCAGCCACCACCACTCAGACACCCCGGCCGGCACCGAGAATCCAGTCGCTGAAGAGACACATCATAGGCGTGACTCAAAGCTGAGTCACATCATGGACTCAATCCGGCACTCGCTTGCCCATGAACATGAGAAGCTCCCTAGCGAGAGCCAAGCTCAAGACCAAAATCCCGTCTCCGCAAATGGGGAATCGGGCAACAACGGCTCGCTCAGTCCGTCCTTGCAGGCTGTGGCCTCGTCTAAACTCAATGAGAACAATATGGGTGAACATTCCCACGAGGCCGAAGATAGCTGGGGTTGGCCAGGTCTTGGTACTTACTCAAGCGCCTCCGAAGCTCCCAGAAGGGAAAGTCTCCGCACAGCATCCACCGACTCAGGTGCTCCGTCGACATCCAGACAAGACTCAGCGCCAAAGGCAAAGGAGTCTGAACCGCCAAGGAGACCATCAACCATATCCCAGGCCAGCAAGAAGAGCCACGACACTCAAAGTGGTTGGCCAGGTCTAGGATCCTTCCCAGAAGACACCGAGAATTAACGGATCCGGGGCGGAAGACATTCACGAATCGAAGCGAGTCCTGCAACTACTTGTTCCTTGTATTTCCCGAAGCACAGTTCCAGACTTTTGTGTGGTGCGTTGAGCGAAGATATTTGAAGCTACGCCGATTACGCCGGCGGGACGACGCACGAGACCCTGATGGTGGGTTTGGAGTTTCTACTACATAAGTCCGACATCAAGTCAAGTTGGATAAAAAGCCATCCTGGCGAGGCTGTTTGTGATAGCGCTCAGTTACGAGTACTAGTACTAATTACAATGAATTCTATCGAAAAGAATCTTTTACTCACAGCATTCTCATCTATAAGTAAAGGGTACAGTATCAGATGCACGAATACCTCTTTAGGTAGGGATGTAGATCAACCTGGTTACCTGGTATCGAATACAATTCGTCTCCTGATAGAATCTTTCAATTGACTCAAACCCCCTTGTCCTCAACCCTCGCTGATGTACTTGTACTCGATTCTACCAAGTACATACTTGGTACGAGGACAAGCACGTTTACCTCATTTTGTCACTTTCCAGGGCCCTGTGCCGTGTTGACCCAATCTTCTTCCTACAAGTAGCATGATCTGTGCCGCCCTTGAGTCGTCATCGACCGTTCTCGAAGCAGATGACAAGCAGCTCAGCTACTCGAGAATTCCACAAGCTCATCCGTAGCGGACCGGACTCACCACGAGCTGTGTCACCGCGACTGCCTGTTCTGCCCCAGGCGCCTTGACTGGCGGAGTACTTCTTGACCTTGGTGGCGGCTGAAGCTTTGTCCTTTCGGCAGTGGAGTCCGCCTCCATCTCTTCCGTGAGGTCAATGAATAGCACTTGATCAAGGCTGGGCATTCAATCTCCCTCCCTTGTCTCGCCATTTGTCGTAGTCGATACTGCTCCATGTATTCCATTCTGCGCCAGACACGTCGCCACTACCCTATCCGGCTCACCGCCCAGCAATTCCGCGACACAGAAGCCATCACCTCATTTCATGAACCTTGCCACGACAGGGGACTGCAGACCCATACAAGTACAGGTAGTGTGACGGCAGCTTCCATTTGATCCTCATCATAACTGTTGTTCTGGAGAAACGACAGTTCCCGACACGGCTAGAATATGGAAGAAAAAGAAGAAAAGTGGACAACCGTAGCCCAGTAGAAGGAAACGAGGCATAGGACTAGAGGTAGGAGGAGTGGCACAACAACAGACAGACTGAAGCTAGGAGGATGGGCGTGCTTTAGGGTAGCCCAGGTATGACGATTCGTGGGCAAACGTAGACGTCTGGTCTTGTTTCTGTCCTGTGCTTGGCCGTCGGAAGGAGGCAACACAGTGCCCTATGCAGGTGGCGAGACGGGGAGGTAGTATGTAGGTTCGGGTAGAGGACAGGCTTCGACCGTTAGCGCCGTGGGCCATTTGTTTGTAGCTTGACAACGGAAACCCTGCGGAGAATGCTGTCGACTACCAGATTGGCTCAAAGGTGAAGAAAGCAGGGATGTGAGCCAACAAAAGTAGAAATGAATTGTAATAGATTCGACATTGTTTTCTGTCAACTTCCGCTAGATTCCTGTTTGATGTTGGATGGGCGCAGGCTGAAGGTCGTCTTGATGCAGGCGGTATTCTCGATGATTCTCGATTGTAATGACTGGAAGAGTGTCCCATATGGTGTCCTTTCGTGGCGTCCTGCAAGCCAGTGCCGTTGATACCCTGCCCAATAGGCGGTTGATGTCCGTGAGTGTGCCTGGGAGATGTTGTGCGGGGAAGCTGCCCGCCCAGCCACGACCTAGAACTTACTGTGGCCCCTGCGCTCCAAGTGCCCGAAATTTCCAGACACATCTATGGGTCAATACTTGTAATGACGCTGCATTCTGCATTGATTCTCCTTTCACATGATGGGTTTCTATCACATTGCCCAACCGTGATCGTCAGGTCACCACCCATCATTGCGGGGCCTTGTCGCCTCAGAGTAGGCAGCACCATTCTACAAATGGAAGTGACAAAAGTTCGAGAATCCAAAAGCGGAATCGACTGAACTCTCTAGAAATCTCACGCCATTTCTGCATATTTCGACATCCGGGGTGTTGTCAAGGTGAGTTCCACCCTCTATGGTACAAACCTAGGGACCTCAGGTCTATAAATCATACCTCATCTCTCCCCCATCAGACAGTCTTTCAGCAGACCAGATCAGAACATCAAAACACTTCATGTCTAATACCCTTCGAAGACTTCCACACCGAGTTACTCCAACAATCTCGCACGTCACCAAGCCAAAGCGAACTCAAACAAGAAACATGGCTCTCTTCCCGCGCATCCCATCCTCATTCGGTCCCTACCGCTCCGAGCTGGGACCATTCTTCAACCTCTTCAACGACACCTTCTCCGAGCTCCAGAAGCTGTCTGACAACGCATCCCGGACCTTTGCGCCCAAGTTCGACGTCAAGGAAGCCAAGGACAGCTACATCCTCGAGGGCGAGCTGCCCGGCATCGACCAAAAGGATGTCATCATCGAGTTTGCCGACGAACAGACCCTCACCGTGAAGGGCCGAACCGAGAGCTTTAGAGAAGAAGGCAGCAAACCCAGCGCTACCGCCGGCGGCGAGGGCAAGAAAGAAGAAGCCGCCGCATCCGGCAGCAAAGAAGTGGCCACCACGGGCTCCAAGGAGGTCGCAAAGTCGGAGCCCCAGCACACTTACTGGGTGTCGGAGCGCAGCGTGGGTGAATTCGCGCGTTCCTTCTCCTTCCCCAACCCAGTCGACCACGAGAGAGTCAAGGCCAGCATGAAGAACGGCATTCTGAGCATCGTGGTCCCCAAGCTGCAAAAGGCCAAGTCGGCCAAGAGGATCGAAATCAGCCAGGAGTAAAGGGACGACACAAATCAACAACGGAGTCAGGATTTCCACGGAGCTCTAGCAACCAAGAACATCAACCTCAAAAATCCAACCTCAGCTTCTTCCTCGACACAATCCGACAACCACTCTCCCTCTAGCACTGTCCTCCAGCCAACACATCGACATCCACAGTGACAGTGCGACTCCTGCTTGCTTCGCGACCTCCACCCACACTCCTTTACTTCCAACAAAAACGACAAGTGTGACGACTTCGAAATGACATTCCTTCTCATGAGCTGCATGAATGGTGTTTGGGCGTGCAGTTTCTAGCTTCTAGTTCTGGGATCTCAAAAAACCGACAAAGGGTGTAACAAAGCGACAAAATAGCATCAATCAGCGAACGGATTTCTAGTCTCTAGTTCTTCAGATAGTTCTCCGTGGTTGGTCCTGTAATAAAAAAAACATCCATTTTCAAAAACAAAAATTAAATGTTCCTTGTTTGAATTGGTGTTTTGAGTATTTGTTCCGAGTTCTTGGTTGACGGAGCATACGAGGTACAGTAATAAGTACCAAATACATTTGTCAAGTAGAACCACTTGCAATGCAAGTACTACTCGTATAAGACAAAACGAGTCCTCGGACTCTGAACTTGGACACTTACTTCCTGGAGGGAGACTAACTGTAATAGGCAATGTGAGTTGGCATCTAGAGTAGTTTCCTCCAATCAATGAGTTTATCCTGGTAGTGATAAATCGACCTTGACCAAAAAGGGATATATGCCTCACAAGAGAGCATCCATTTCACCACCCACCATACTTGTCACTGTGATTGTCCTTATCGCACAGAGCATACAAGTATATGCAAGTCATGTCTGGGAACATCATGCATAAGCACAAATCTGGATAGCTATACTACAGGTGAAAAATCATCAAGCGTGATCCTGGAGCATGAGATGCTCAATGTTGCTCGTGGGTGCCGAGTCCCGATTCCCCAAGACGCGCATCCGTACTTGGTCAAGTACTCGAGTAGAAGTTTTGTTGGCACAAAAGGTGGTCGATGAGCAAGGATTGCTCGTGCAGTGACAGACGTTGTGGAGTGTGCATAATTAAACAATCCGGAGCACTACCACGGCATATGCACCAGGAGATCATTCCATATCTCGGCTTCACCTTTCTTACTGCTCAACGTCGAGAACCCTCGACAAACGGTTGCGTTATTTCCTCGACCCATGTGGTTGAACAGGAAATATTATCCGTCAAAAAGGAAAGGAATGACAAAGCAAAAATGGTGGGCCGGCGAAGCTCGGGCTCGGGTTGAGGCCAGAGAAGCTGAATGAATCACCTGTTATGGCTGCACACTGCAAGATCGAACATCTCATCCTTCTTGTCCCTGCTCGGTCTCACCAACCCACCGAAAGAGTCTCTCAGTAAAGAAACACCTGTCGATTGAGATACAATGAGCGGCCGACATAGCGCCATGCCGTCAGAGGCGTTTCGAACAGACGTCCTGGAAGTAAATCGGCCGGAAATCCTCGAGGTATTGACAAAACAGTGGAGTGTCAAGCACCGGCGTCCTCCAAGCATGTGTTGCCCTATCACAGCCAGAACTCGAGACGATGAAAGAAAGATCTGAGATCAACACCTCGTAAACTTGTCTAAGAGATCAGGAGACGGCGTCGGGTTTCGCTTCAAGGAGGTGAAAACTTACGAATCCCCCCATCCCCCTTAGGCGCGGGATGCACCTACCGCGTGCAACGGTGCGCCGCTGATCCCGGCCTTCTGGGACGAGAACAAAACCGCTACCCATGAGTTGTTGTGTGGGTTTGCGGGGGGATGTCCAGGCTACCACGCACCAAGCATTGCCGATGTCTGCGAGGTTCCTCCTTGACCATTTTCTAGGTCATTGAGCAGACCACAGACGGTCTCGAGGTGACTGCATCCAGAGCTTTCTGACACAGACGGACGGGGAAAGGACGCAAGCTTGCTCCTCCTGCGTCACTTGTATTCTGTTCGATACCCTTGCCGTTGTTGTTCAACACTAGATCCAAGATGTCTCGGAAAGGGATTGGAAGCCAGTAGCATTGTCACGCGTGATATCCAGCAGCTTTCACCACAACCTCATAGATCGACTCTCGCTTGGAAATATTGTCCTTTTACCAGCAGGAACTCGTATCATGCTGACAATGTAGACCAAAACTTAGCAGTCGTTGTCCATCTGCTGAGATGATTCCACATCGTACCGACGCTGTTGTCCTGTTCTGTCGAATATGGTCATTGAGATCTCGAATACCAGACTATTTCAACGGCGCTTACCAAGAGTTTGATCCTGCGTATCTGTTAACAAAAGATCTGACGCAGTGCATGACCACCCAAGAGCCATTTACAGTGCACGAAGTCAAATGTGGCGTGACGGCGAAACGGGAAACAAGAAACAAGTGGATCGGTGTTTTGGGCTGAAGTCGTGCCGAGAGGCACCTAAGCAGCCACCGAAGCCTCTGGGGGTCTCGACCGCGGCGGCTTCCGGGGCACACAGGGAGGCTTTTAGGGGCTTCTAGGAGATTTTAGGGTCCACTAGAGCTTCCTCCTTAATGGCCACGCCTAGAATCCCCCATCGAGTTAGGGGTCCCTGCGTCTCATAGGGACTCCCGCCCCGACGCCCAGGGAATTTTTGGTGGGTTGATCGATCAGGTGCCCACAACCATTACCCAATCCTTCTCAAACTGTCCCGGCCGTCACCAGATACACTGCATATCGAAGGATCCTCCCGACCACTCAGCTGTCTGGACCGGGAAACGAGCCTGATCAGCGGAGCGGAACCCTTTTGCTTTGCCCATACAGTGGATTATCAAGTCCATAAAATGCGATGAGAAACCAGGTCTTCAAGTCCCTTTTCTTTCATCACTCTACCAATCCAAACAAACAGCCAGAACATTATCACAAAGTCCTCAATCACATCACTTCAAGGTCAACCCACTACTACACCTTGTTGAACAATTGTCCGAAATGGTCCAATACGATCAATTCAATGGGATGTTTTCATCCACGTCCCTCCCCTCTCGCCCAAGGGCGGACGGTTCCGAGAGGTCTCAGTCTCCGAGTATGTTCACACCCCATGCTGGGACGTTTTGTTACAGATACTGACAATAGTAGACCAGCCACTTCATCCGCTTCTAAGAAGACTGTCTTCGGCTAGCGGAGCAGGGCCACATCTGTGCACCCGATGCCACCTCCGACGTCCTTCGCAAGAAATCCGCCTTCCACTCGACCACGAATGCTCCTCGAGCGAGGAGGAATGGGACGGATTCTGCCCCGACATCCACATGCCCAAAGATCTCACTCCTCCACCATCACCCCACCACAAACGACGACATTCGTGTCTCTGCCCCGTTGGCGTCGTCGCCCAAGAACACCACAAAAGTGGAACCGTGTCGCCGGTGCAGATGACGGTCAAGGAAGCGGCCCAGAGCCATCACTACGGCCACCACCACAACAAATGCAACTGCCAGACTGTCCTTCCAGAAGAGAACTTGGAAGAGAGATACGGTCTCGTTGGAGAGCCCGCCCTGACACGGCGGAAGTTGAGCCTCGAACAGGGCGCCGCGAACCAACTGGCCAGCATCATGCACGCCGAACTCATCTCAGACATGAAGGCACGGAATAACCATCTCTGAAGAAAGCGATGAAAGGAGCATGTGATCAACAGTTACGACATGACTCCACGATGGTTTTTTGGGGGAATGAGGATCTTATTTGGTGCAAAAAGCCCGTGTATAGTAATTTCAGGCGGCACAAGGCGTTTGGTTGGGAAACTATGGACACCAGGGACATAAGGGACACCATTGGGCACCAGGGGAAACCCCACTACGGCTCTACGAAAGGCTGGGAGCAAGTACGAGTAATGACGGTTGGAGGGAAAGGGGCGGGCCTTTCTACTTCCCCGGAAAACTGAATCCTCATTCAGACAACTGTTTTTAGATGAAATATCAAAGGTTGAGAACTATGACTGCAAAGACTTGTAAAAGTACTCTTACCTCCATGTGATAGTATCTCTTATACAAGTATACGTACAAGTACAAGTCCGAGTATGTAGACTATATGGTTCAATATCAAGTGTTGGACGTATGCGACAATCTATTATCGACACTTGTTCGGCATCACCATGGTATTCTACAAGTACCTATCTAGTAGTATGGTACTTGTACTTGCGCAGTATATGCCGCAAGGCTGTGCAAGGCTCTGGACCCAAGGGGCGGTCTGAAGGGCTCGGCCTCATTAGCTCCGATGGGCAAACCCACAAAAGCACCGGATCTGCAATAGCGATGAGGCCCCCCAACACCAGTAACTAAGCGAACATCCCTTGTCCTCGCTAGGCCCAACAACCCCAAAAAAAATCATCACACCACCATCTGACATCTGAGTGAGTGACTTTCCCTTTGTCCCACGTGCTTATGATGCTTTGCTGAGAAATTCCATGTCGTGCATATCTCACTAAGGCGCTGGCAGCAGTGCTTGTGCGCGTGTTTGCTATCCATTCATTACAAGTACGCTGGGTAACAAAGACACCTTAATGAGCACAGACAGAACCTCTCTTTCTTGGAAGTCTCCGAATTGAGCGAAATACGGGACCATCTGCGGCACTGGGTACTGGATTATCTAATTTGGCCGGACGCGACCGACTGAATCCTTATCATCGTAAAAGTCAAACCGACGTTCAGGACTCAGCATTGGCCTGGCAGCCTGGCTAGAATCAATCCCTTCCTGCAGCACAGCCCATAACTTGGTAGTAGTGGTAACTGAGTAAGTAATGCCTCGTACCGCTTTCCTAGTAAAAGAGGCTTTTTCCCCTTTTCCCCGCATCGATCCAATTCCTCATCATGAGATCTTACTGCAAACCTTGTCCCGCCGGGTGCCGCTATAGGCGAGAGCCTTAGTCCCTCAGTGGACCATCGTATGATGGAACATCGAGCAACATGCAGGGGCGGGGCACAGTTCACTGGTCCAAAGATGCTTCAACGATCCAGTCATGGCCGTCTA